TTCGCGCGATCTTGCGCAAAAGTTCGAATTTGACAAAGGATATAAAATTCCAGTCCACGTGTTATCACAGAAGGTCGCCAATCTTAACCAAATTTATACGCAGCACGCTTACATGCGTTTGCATGCTTGTTGCGGTATCTTTATCGGAATGGATGAGGAGCTCAAAGCGCCTCAAATCTACCGCTTCGATCCCGCTGGTTGGTTTGTTGGATGCAAAGTGAGCGGTAGTAGGGACAATACAGCGACGTAGTAGGGACAATACAGCGACGTAGTAGGGACAATACAGCGACGTAGTAGGGACAATACAGCGACGTAGTAGGGACAATACAGCGACGTAGTAGGGACAATACAGCGACGTAGTAGGGACAATACAGCGACGTAGTAGGGGACAGTATACTCTAATAAGTTACATTCAATTCAGGCTTGTGCTATTGGATCAAAGGAGCAAGAAGGAACGAATCTGCTTGAGAAGGTCGTTCGAAATAAGAAATTAGAGACGGAGGCTGAAGTCCTTGAAGCTGCCATCGGCTGCCTGCAATCTGTAAGTGATGCGACTCTATTGATGAGAGCAATTTTCAAACTTCATTCTCGCAGGTCTTGTCAGTAGATTTCAAGCCCAACGAGGTTGAAGTTGGTCTCGTGACTCTTGCTGACCCGAAATTCAGGTAAGGCGTTGCTATTGGTGCTACTGCTATTGCAATTTTGCCTTTAGATTGTTGAATGAATCAGAAATCGAGGAGTATCTGAACAGGATTGCCGAACGTGATTGATAACGAACAAACCTTGCTAGACGACTACTTTGTGAAACTTACTCCCAACCAACCCTCACCTCTTGCAATCGAACCAAATAGAACGAATTTGCCTTAGCGACATGTTTGATGATTTTTTGAGGTGTTGCACAGATAAGTGGAGTTCTAATTTGTCTTCTGGTGTATTCACAAAATGAATTCAGCTTTAAACAATTCAGCTTTAAACAATTCAGCTTCATCTATAAAAACAATTTCCACTCAAAACAGTTTATACAACAATTCTATTAGATTGCAAAACATTTAAAAATTAATCACTTCTTGAACAACGTCGAATTTCTGTTCAAGAGATGCGCTTGAATAAAGTTGACCGAAACTGCCATCAGTTGAATTTTCGCTTCCCATCGATCCCAATGAAAAAACTTTATCAAGATCTGAAAATTGATCAACTGGTGAATTACACCCTGATTTTGATTCTGTATTCCAGTGTATTGGTTGTTGCTCTGGACTGCTTGCCGTCGTTGATGGAGATGCCAAAATCTGTTGCTGATCTTTTCTTCCATTGAGATTTGTGTTTTTCGATGCAAACCGGCTTTTTTCCTCCTTCAATTCGTCTCGTTTGTCTGTCTTCATGTTGTTCGAAAATTTAACATGTCGCCCATTCATCTGCAATCCTTCGTCCTCTCGATGTCGTTCTGACTTAATTTTATCTCACGATCCGTCTTGCCTTGCTTTTACATCTCACATTCTCTTTTATCACACTCTCACTCTCGAGGGACAGGTTTTGAACATGAACCAATACATTATTTCTTGAACGACAACGATTCAACGATGAAGATAATGACAAGGATCTCTCACGGTTTTTCCTCACCGACATCTTCTTCTCCGTTACTTGTTTCATTGGTTCCATCCCTTCTGTGTTTCCGTGCACCTTATCGTTCTTCAGCGTTCGCTGTCCTCCTGTAATGTTTCGACCCACAAGAAATCTTCCATATTCTTTCGTGACTTCTTCGTTGCGCTTTGAGGTTGAAAAGGTCGGTCGATCAACTGCTGGTCGACTTTTTGATCTTCCTCGAATTCTCATAGAATTATCACTCACATGTTGATTGGATTGATTCTTTATGGATTCATCATCAAAGTGTTGACTGGATGGTGTTACTTGATTGAATGATGTTCCTCTCGACATTTTTGTCCCCAGATGTTGTTTATCTGTTTGTTGCGTCATCGGATTTGCCATTAAACGAACAGAAACCGACGGTGATTCTACAAAAATTGAGAATGAATCACTTGGTTTAATCGATGCTCGGTGATCCCCTTCGCTTCTGTTCTGGAAATCGTTGTGCCCAACTTGCTGCAATTGATGTAACGACAGAATTTGGGAATTTTTCTTTGCACTCGGATTTTGGCGATATTGCGAAAAGTTAAGCATCCCGTTATTCACTTGATTATACAGGAGTGGAGTTGCTTTGGGACAAGGTTTGATTGGCGATGTCAAGCTGTCATTTCTTTGGAATCCACGATGCTCTGTTCCACAGTGACCATCCCGATATATTTGGGCCATTTGGGACATTTCTTGATGGAAGACATTCGAATTATCTTGTAAATATCTACTGTGGCTTTCTGTTTGTTTTGGACTGCGATAATGATGTAATCCTCCTGCTTGGATTGATGTATCGCATAATTTCTGTTTTGCTTCAAACATTCCAGCAGATGAATTTGTCCCACTTGATGATAAACAGATTGATGGATGTTTGTATGGATTGGAATGTCTCTCCTCACAAAATGATTCATCAATTGGTTCATTCATGAAACAACGATGTTGATCATCAAGATTCAATTTTCGATGAGATGATTGGTTTCCTGTGCGTGTAATGATTTCAATAAAAGGCTTTCCAGTATTCTTCCCTTCTTCTTCTTCAAAATCATTCTCATCCCAATGAATTGGATTTTCAAAGTCGGATGATTCTGTGGCTCTCGTTATTCCGCGCCCTCTGAAAACATGCATGCGTGTTTGCAGATGATCAAGAAGGCCAGGATGAAATCGGAGTAGAGAAGGAGTTTCCGAAAGCATTTTTCGCGCGACAAGATTTAAAGGCTTTGAAGCAAGAACGTCTCCGTAATCCTGAAATGGAGCACTAATGCGTTCTTCATCATCAGTGAAATAAATCATTCTTGCTAGGAGATCTCGACAACGTGGTGATAGTCTTCCATGATCAGTGGATGTCGGATATTTGGTATTAAATTTTTTTAAGGTAAGAAGCTCAAACGCTAAAAGGCCAAGATGACGAATAATCAGTTGCCGTCTTTGCTGATGAGAAGATTTCCCTGAAAGAGACGCGGGAGTATCCGAGTTGATGATGGAGTTTGCCTGAAGAGAAGAGAGAGTGTCATGTTTGTCAACTCAACTTGTGTCCTACTTCGACGTCAACAAGCTTCGCAACAAAATTTGTCCCTGAACTGGTGAGTGTGATCGATTCGATTGGCAAACGGAAGAGATAGATTGCATGAAATTTCTCGATGAAAATAAGAGCTAATAATAATTGAGCGATCCATTTCAGCACCAATTGTTCATCGAGGTATTTATTCATCTTCAGACAATTGTCTATTACCACCCTCAAACTCCCTGGATTTGGATGTTCTGTTATGAGATGAACAACACCCGATTGAACAAAAACTTCATAATATTGTAACACGTGAGGGTGACGCAATTCTGTTAACTTCGAGAGAAGATCTAAAAAATCGACTTTTGATGATTGATCTGAATGTTGTTGCAATATTTCTGGATTTTTGAAAAGACTTCTCTTGAGATCATCTAATGAATGAGTAGAAGATTGTTTGAAAATTCTGAGATCGAAAAAGCGACCGTGATGTAGACGATCTTCGACAAGAAAAGTTGAAGACAAACGATCCTTCTGTAACTGACGGAGTTTAGAGTAGCGGCTCAACATAACTGAAGTGGTCGACATGATAATTCAAAAAGATGAAGATATGGAGTACAAAGTGCAACAAATCGTGATTTTTTGATGAAGGAGTGCCTGTTGAAAGTTTATAAAGAAGCAGCAGGAGACTTTTTTATTTAGGATTTCAGCGGAGTGTGTGAAAATCATTATCTTCCTCTTTTTTGGATCGTTTTTATGTATTTCTCTTGTTGATGTCCCAAAACTTTTTTTTTGACTTTCATGATCTTTTGTACAACTAATTTATTAACTTATGGCAACACTTTCGGACCTGGCGGGTCTTGACGGGTTGAAAGTAAGATGAATGTATGGTGCAGCTTTCTAGTTCCAATCATCTCTACTTTGCTACTGATTCTGCCTCTGATGTCTCTGTCTCTTCAGATTGCGGTCATTGGAAGTGGCAATTGGGGTGCTGCAATCACAACAATTATTGGAAAAAACGCAGGAAGAACTATTTTGTTCAAACCAGAAGTGAGCGACTCATTCTGCGTGAGTCTAGATGGAACAGCAATACAGAATGTTGTCAGGTGAGTCAATGGATTTACGAAGAGATTGTAGAGGGAAGAAGATTATCAGAGCTGATCAACTTGACCCATGAAAATAAAAAGTATTTACCCCGGTCAGTTTGCAAGCCAAAGTTGAAAATGAAGTGGGGTCTTCAGGTGTTTCCATTCCTGTCAATATTAAAGCAACTCCGAATCTCGTTGAATGCGTTACCGGAGCAGACCTTCTCGTGTTTGTTTTGCCGCATCAATTTCTTCCTGGTGTATTGCGTCAGATTGAAGGGAATGTCAAACCAGGAGCGCGTGCCATCAGTCTCATCAAAGGGTTTCACGTAGACCAAGGACGTCCATCGTTGTTCACTGAAATGATTTCAAAATGTCTCAAAGTTGATTGTTCAATTCTTAGTGGCGCGAATGTTGCTAGCGGAGTCGCAAAGGGTGAATTCTGTGAAACGACAATTGGATATTCAGTTCTGGAAAGTGCTCGAATTTGGCAAATGCTGTTCGATACTCCAGCATTTAAAGTTGATGTACTTCCTGATATAAAAGTATGCGCTGGTGATCATTATTGATGGTAATATTTGGATTGCAGGGGATTGAAGTGTGTGGCGCTGTGAAGAATGTTATTGGTGAGAATGACTGAGTGGCAGCATAACCAAAATCGGCAGAATAACCTCCTTCTCTGTTTTGCAGCCCTGGCTGCTGGATTTTGCGACGGTCTTGGTGAGAGCTTATTACTGGCGCTTTGGGACTCTGTTTTGGGACTCATCCTGTCAGGATTTTCAACGAATACAAAGGCAGCAATAATAAGATTGGGACTGAATGAAATGAAACTCTTCGCAACGCTTTTCTTCGATGGGATCGTCGAGGCATGTCGATTAAATTGTCATTAAATTTCTGATTCTTCACTTCAGGAAACTTTCTTAGAAAGCGCGGGATTGGCAGATACAATCACAACTTGCTTTGGAGGTGCGAAATACTGGACATCTCATTTTGGGACATCTCATTTTGGGACTCGCGTTCAGGGAGGAATGTTCGCTGCGCTGGCGAGTTCGTGAAACGTCGCGGTCCAGTTTCAATTAGCGATCCTGAACGCGATGAGGAATTATGGAGTGCGATTGAATTGGAACTACTGAATGGACAAAAGCTGCAGGTAGATGATCAAATGTAATCTAGATTATAGTACTGAGTTCATTGCCTCAATAGTGTGTTGGAATACATGTTTTCTGTTCGTAGTGACACGACCTTTCTTCAGGGAACGTTGACCACCAAAGATGTTTATTCAGTTATTGAGTATCATCAATTGCATGACGCATTTCCTCTCTTTACAACGACCCATCACATTGCATTCCGAGGATTGCCGTCTGATCGAATCGTTGGAGTCTTTATGGTGAGAGCAACAATCATTCTATTGGGGACATCTGGGAATCATTGCAGACTGAAGAGTTTAGAGTCCCAAAGAGTCAAGGGTGTCATCCAGTTGAACTCACCGAAGCTGTGAGGCAACTACGAAAACAAGTGGGTAACAAGCAAAGATCTATTTTTTATTTATCATATTTTTATTTATCATATTTTTATTTATCATATTTTTATTTATCATATTTTTATTTATCATATTTTTATTTCATTATTTTGTAGTTGATTCCACCTTCAGCGCATCTGAAGTCATTGGAAAGCTCCCGTCTCTAAAAATGTTCCTTCGAGGTTCAAAATCTTCATTAAATGACAAAAACTACAAAATCATTGAACCAGAACAAATAGATTCAAAAATACTTGGTGTCATCATCTTGTAACCTTCTGTATCTTCAATCCATATCGAGTCATTAGGGGAATGAGTTGCAATGATTGTTGGATTGAAACCCTGTTTCATTAATTCAACCTTTTGAAATTTAAGAGTGGCTGGAAGGAGAATGAGTTTGTTAATAAAATTGAATATTGAATTACCAGTTTTGAAATTCTCGCAAGATCGAAGTCGCAGAAATTTGGGACGCGCATATTCTGGAAGAGACGATCGTAATGTAACGAATATTTGTTGGAGAGTGTTTTCGAGTTTCTCTTCAGTCTTTAGTAGAATTGATGCCATTCCGATCTGACGGTTTGAAACATTTTTGTAGAATCGATGATGAATCTTACCTTCCCCGAATAAATCTCAAGAGGGATTGGGACTCCATAAACATTTGCTTCCACAATATTGGGACATTGGGACAAGATATCTGCGACCTCATTTGTAGAAACGTTATTTCCCTTCCATCTAAACGTATCGCCAATTCTGAAAACAATTGAGTAGAAAAGTTTTATCGTAGAATTTCTCTTACCGGTCCACAAAAAAATGAAATCCATCAGAATCCCTTCTCAATAAATCGCTCGAATGATACCAAATATCGGCGGGTTCGAAGACATCTTTATAAAGAACTCTTTCAGTGTCTTCTAAACTTGTATAACTGGCCAAGATGAGTTATTCCATTCCAACTTAATTGGATTCATACAGACCCACTATACGGCTCTCGAAGCTTTACAATCGCTTCACCTATTTGGCTTCCATCATCGTTTACTTTAGCTTCAACGCACGACGCAAATTCAATTATTTGTCCGTTTAATCCAGTTAAACTCTTCATGACGCGAACTGGTTCGTTTAAATTTGCATCAAATTCAATCAGCTTCTCAGTTCCTAAACTTCCAGCGATTCTGAAGAAAGACATCCACGATATCCCAAACAACACAATATTGTAACCAATATGAGACGTACAGAGGTGGAATGTATCCGCATGATCCAACTTTTCCGTACGAGTTAATCATCGGATGAGCAGAAGGCATTTCAGTTTGGCCATAATGCTCAACGATCAACTGAATCCCGAAACGTGACTGAATCTAAAAATCAAGCATTAGAGTCCATCAGAAAAAGAATCTTACTTCACGCCACAATTCAGGACGAAGCCCGTTCCCACAGACGACACGGAGGGAATGATCCCTTTCTTCACTCTGGAACAAAACGCAACAATACAAGATTATAAAACATTAATTAGCAGCCAAACTCACATCGACTCGCTCTTTGTTTTCTGCGTTTCTCCCGCCACGGCACACATATTGCCACAATTCACCGACATAGATTGTTGCCGTTGCTTTGAAGCGGCGAATATCTAATTATACAAAGAAAAATGGTGTATCGTTGTGAAGAAAGCATCTTTACCGTTCCAAAATTGAGATGCAGAGAACTTTGAACGCATAACCAGACAACAATGAGCTCTAAATAGAAATGAGTATCAGAGATGAGAGAAATCAACGATGGATTTACCTCCAAGAAGTGGAAAGTGCCACCACTCCCCCTGATAGGACGAACGAATGGACATTCTTCAAATCCAAGAAACGCACCATTTCCATGAAAAAGAGGCAGAGTTTGATAATAAATATCTTCACTACCAGACAAAGAATTGAATTCATGAAATCCAGAATGTCTTACGGTTTTAATTCCATGTGTCTCTGCCAAGTCACTCCCCGCTCCAATAAAACTGGAAAAAAAAAAAAGAAAGAGAATTTGTTTGTCGAAAATATTCAAATGATTCTTTAAAACGAACCGTCGATGGTTGAAGCGCGCTGCTTTGGATTTTCCAGTAGTTCCACTCGTGAAGATGTGGAAATGATCATCATATTCTGAAATACCTTCCAGCCAGTCAGATGAAATTTTAGGGTCCTCTGACGTCTCCGTGAAGAGTGAGCTTTGAATTGAGACGAGATGTTCAGTCTGAGAAATAGAAATTTTAATAAGCAAATATTCGATAGAGAGGTAGACACCCACGTCATGAGACGATGACGATTCCCCAAGGATGTCCCAAATAAAGACGGTCTTTCGAGACTTCAGCCATTCTTGATCGCTTTGGCTCAATTTTTCGAAAATAGAGGATTGGATAATCAAATATTTTACCTGAGATCACGAAAAGATGGCAACATGTGGAAGGGGTTTAATTAGCACCTCAGAAACTCTCCAAGCGTTCACTATGAGGTCTCGTTGCAATGCCACATTCCACAACGAGACGGTGTAGCCTGCCTTGCAATCGAACAGAAAATAAATGGATGAATGGGTTCAACCGACGCACCTTCGACAAACCCAAGCTGATCCAAATGAAGTCATTTGAGTTGGACATCATCAACCCAACAACAGATTTTGTGGAAGATTTATCTATCAAGAAACTCATGATGAATCAGGAGGTATTTGTCCGCCCACAGTTTTTCTGGCCCAGTGAGCGACTCGGTTGGCACGGCGTTGCGTTTCTTTGTAAGTCAGCGATTCTCCAGTGTCCACTGACCTGGGAAAAAGTGCCATGGGTTGAGATGCAATAGTGTCTTTCCCAAAGAAGCGACAAATTTGGGATAAATCGCGTACCAAATACATTGATTACTTGGAGCAATTCTGACAATATCATCAAAATATTGGGGCACTAAGAAAAGTCCCTTCTCCGCAAGTTCTTCTGTTGCCTGAGTATCCACGGAACAAAATAAGATTCATCAGACCGACAAGTTTTCGATTCACCTGTTTGATATAATTCTGATGTTCCCACCATTTGGTTTCAGCATCCACTGTCATATTGACAAATTAGCAGACCTTATGGTTCGACTGTCCGAAACAGAATGACACACCATTCATCACCAAGATGGGATTTCCAGAAGATTCGAGTCATTTTCAGCACTGGATTTTCACAGAGCAGCAACTGGATATTCAAAGACGTTCAGTTCTAGAGGCCGCTGTTCAAAAACTGACCGTCCAACTCGAGGAGAAGGGTGTGTCTCCTCCTGCTGATCTTTTTTTAGACAAGAATGAATGCGAATTTCTCATTTCGTATTTTGTATCTCAACTGCTTATTGTTTGCTCGGTGAAGGGGTTAGACTACAAGGTGACGAATACAGCTGCTGCATTTCTCACTCGGTTTTACTTGAAGAGAAGTCTATTCGAATTTGATCCTCGTCGCATTTTGCTCACTTGCATTCTCTTATCAATCAAATCGGAAGACTTGGCGATGTCGACAACATTGCATCGTTTCTGTGAGAGCCTCATATCTCCAAAGCGAGTTCGTTTAGCAGAAGTGATTGATAATGAGTTGGTTGTACTGGATGCGATCTCATTTCATCTATTAGTGTTGCAACCAAGAACCCCCATCCATTTTCTAACAACCGAGTATTTTCAGCGCTATAAACCAACGAAGCCTTCTGAAACAGCATCAGCGGAAGAGAAGCAAGCGGTTCACGAGGCCCAAACAGCTTTTGGAAAGCTCCTAGAAGAGATTAAGCGCGACGCAGAACAACTTGCTCTTCAAGCGTTCGGAAATGCGGAAATTCCATTCCTGTACACACCGTCTCAAATCGGGATCGCAACTTTTTTGCACGTTTCTGAAGGAAAGCTTCAAGACGCCGAAAAATTTGTTGGAGGATTATTTAACGCCAGCGATGACAAGGCTCGCCTCTTTGATTCTCTGAGACCGAAATTGTTGGATCTAAGAACCCGCTTGGCTCTTATGGTTGAAGAAAGACAGCAAGAAGGCGATGAAGAGAGGTCCCAAAGGGCTGCAAAGGGAATTAAAAAGCTCGAAAAGTTAGCAAAACTATTAAAAGGTGGAAGTAAGAAGGAGAAGGGAAGCAAAAAAAACGCGAAAATCACAGCAAGGAGTTCCAACTGAAACGCCATCATCACCAAAGGAAACAGAAACATCATTACCAGAACAACATTAATGCAACTTGTGACCTTTTCGTCCTTTTTCAAATTGCATTCCTCAAATCCTTTAATCAATGAAGTAAAGTTAGATACGGTTATTGATCGGCATCGTCGTCATCGTCTTTGTCTAAATGGAACACCATCGTCGAGTCGTTCCCTTTGCAACAGGATGACAAAACCGGGGATGGTGGAAGACCAAGCTCGTAGCTTTCAATCAAACTATCCCGACCATGTGGTCTCGTTTTTGGTTTTGTTTCCAATGATGAAGCTTCGGACATCGTCTGACATAACCGTCTTGCACAACGAATCATTTCCCTCCATTTTAAAGCCTCTTGCTCAGAAGAACAAGAAAACATCCACTTGGGATGAATTGCCAGATGAAACATTTCTAATATAAACTCATCAGAGAGTGACCCAGTGTCCCAAACCTAATTGAAAACAACATCAACAGCCATTCCATCTAGCAGACCGTTTTAGATGAATGGGTGTTTCTCAAGCACTTGAATGGTTTGGTCACTTACCCTTGCACTAGTGTTGGGCCATTCAAACACAACGACAACAAAACGGCGGTCCTCAAACGTTTGAGAGAGAACGAAGGAAGCGGTGTCGGAGGTCACGGCTTTTATACCTCGAGGGCAATAGGAGTAGGGGTGGAGGCAAAGTGGGCACGAAGAGGAGGTTGATGCAAGCGGTGAGCCAATAGCCGAGGGTGCTAGAAAACGAGGACACCGAAAATAATTGAGAATAGAGGAAAAAAATGGAAACAAGAAGACGCGAAAAATAAGCGAAAGAGAGAAGGTGGTTTGAAGCTGAGATGGGGACGGATTTGACCAATACACATTAGGCTGAAAGCCGGTGATTGATTCAGGAGTACTATTGAATCGATCATCCAAATTTTGGGACATACGTGATGGGATTGAATGATGGGGATCCTCTTTTTGACCGTCGTCATCATGATTATACCAATTCTCTAAACCACTTTTAATGCTGCTAGATGAGGCCCCTTGTTGATTTTGAAGTGCTTCAAAATCCTTGTGGTAAAACATTGAAGTTCCAACCACACAAAGATGACGCTCAACCCAGCGATCTGCAAACACGAGAAACATCAAAAACAAGGTATTAATAAATCGTACATGGCCATCCATTTCCTCTTTTATAAACAATGTGGGGAACAGTTAGTGAAACATCCTCATTGATTGAATCTGAGGATTTTTGTCCTGCTGTCTCTTTCGGAGGAACATAATCCCAACAAGCTGGCGCTTCAGATGCATTGATATAATTACTCTCATCAGATTTGCACAATTCACGTAAAAAGCTGTTGCTGGTGCAAACGATGGGAATTGCGACTCTGTTCTTCTGGAGAAAGTAATACAGGGTTGCAGATACTGACGATCTCTTGTGGACCGAATTCTCTTGCTGTAAGAAATGCACGACTCGTCAATGGTAGATTGGCAACTGGAACATCTGGTTCATTAAGGACATCTTTGCTACTATCCGCATGACGAATTGTATGTAATGGGAGGCTCGGAACCAGTGAAGATCGATCTTGTAGATCATCATCAAGACTCATGACGGATGGATTTTCAGTTGATTGAAGAGTGTCCTCATGGGATTGCGTTGTAGGAGATGAAGGTGTGGAGCAGGATGATGGAAGAGTTGGGGATTTGCGGGACAAACACGGGGAATCCATTTACAAAAAATTTTATTTAAAGAACTAAAAGATAATTGAAAACTCCATCAGACAGGACAGCAAACACCTTATCAGAAGAGTTGCGTTAAACTGATTGAAAATAGTTAAAACAGCGCTGAACCTTTAGTCCGGCCAGATACAGATTCTGCAGGATCGCCGTCAATGGCGTCTTCATGTGCGGTTCACCCCGCCCAGCCAGGAATCGACCAATTTTTCATCTCGCTGGCTGAAACCACAATTGTCAACAAAACTGTGAAGTTTAGATTAAAAACTGCTGTTGAAGAATCAGTAACAAGCTTGCTGTCAACAAACGAGGAAAAAAAAACAGACACCGGAAATGTTTCGAGCCCCATTTTGGACGTTCTCGAGACGAATCGACCTCCTGACCTGCCTCAACATTGGTTCTATCCCCCTGGCCATTTGGGATCCTTTCAATGGGGAAAGAAATGGCGCTATATGGGTCGTGGCCTTCTAAACTATGCCAACACTTGCTTTTTGAATGCCACAATCCAAGCTTTGGCATACTGCCCACCATTTGCGCAGGATTGTCTAGCAGCAAAGCATTCAAACCGATGCTTGCGGAAGAAAAGAAATCAAGTTTGCGGCTTTTGCCAATTCGAGATTCTTGTTAGAAATCTGTTTAGCAAGACAGAAGAAGGGAAGCCGAGAATTGCGTCGTTCCCTCCCTTATTCATTAAATTGCTAAGGAAGGAAATTAAAATGAATCAAGGAATTAGTTTTGGTGGAAATGATTGGTTTGGAGTTCAAAATTGTGCTCATGAATGGCTGATTCAATTCATAGATTTACTCTCGAAATATGATTTGCCTCCCGAATTACAACAAGATTTTGAAAATGGGAGAGTCAGAGGGGCTGATTCAGCAACTTGTTACTTGCAGCAGATGTTCTCGTCGTGTTTCCAAGAGTCCAAAATTTGTCAAGTGTGTCACAAATCGACTTCAAACTATGAGCTCAATACCTGCATTCGAGTCTCCATTACTGATGGTTCCCTTGAGAGTGGATTGCAACATGCATTCAAACCAGAACTCCTCAGCGGTAGCAATCAGCCAATGTCAGTAAACATCTTCCCTCACCTCTCATGACTTTTCTTTTTCCTATAGGTGTGATTCTTGTGGGGTCCCTCGCGATAAAGTTTCAAGGCGATACATTTGTAGACCCCCAAATGTTTTAGTGATTCTTCTTCAAAGGTCCGTTTTATTCTTGTTCTATCGTCTTTCTTGACTTTTTTCTCCATTTCAGGGCAGAATTTCGGGCGGAAACAAAAAAGACTCCGAAATGGAAAGACCGTTACGGAATGTTTGATTCTAAAGTGAAGAAAAATTGTACGCAAATGAGAATTCCATTGAAGTTGAAGCTTGAGGATTTCATGACGCCCGAGTGTCAAAAATTGTTCTGTTCAACTTCAACAACGGGGGAAGGAACAGTTTATGAATTTAGTGCTTCGGTGAACCACGCGGGGAGCGCAGGATTTGGTCATTATTGGTCAACTGTTGTTGGACCTGACGGGTTGTACTACAAGCTTGATGATGAGCTGATCACTCAGGTATGCACACCAGTCTGCTGGGAAATTTATGGGTCCTGTTGCTTCAATCTAGATTCCTCCTTCTTTGCTTCTTCAACAATTGGGTTCATCTTACCTTCTCTTCTATACGCGAAGAACTCCCGTTAATTCTGCTGCTCCAATAATCAAAGCAGGAGAAAGCATAACGCTCTATAGATCGAAATATGATGAAGGTGTCGAAGTCGCTGATACCATCCAGGAGGCTGAGGAAGAACCCTGGAAAGTCCAAATTTCTTTAGGATTAAATGTCCCAAATATGGCATCTCAGTCTGTCCCAAATATGGCATCTCAGTCTGTCCCAAATATGGCATCTCAGTCTGTCCCAAATATGGTATCTCAGTCTGTCCCAAATATGGCATCTCAGTCTGTCTCAACTAAAATATCATCTGAGATGGACAACTTGCAACAACCATCGGATGAATCTGGAAGGATTGATGAGATTGAAAGTGAAACGGATACATCTGAGATCGATGATGAAATGGATCGAGCACTCGAGATTGATTCACAAAGCAGTCAGTCTTCAGAAGACTCCTTTTTCAATGAGGAAGCCGTTAACGGCAACGAACTTGAAATTCGGCGTCGCTTGTTGACTGAGATGATGGAAGATGGTTCTGATGACAATGAATCTGGGAATGAAGAGTTTATGAAATTATTGACTAGATACAGAGAGAGACGATTTCTATCGAGTCGTCTGCGTCGTTCTGTATTTTATTCTAGAGTAAGATCTACTGTCCAATAGTCGATTTATTCGTTATTTGCAGGCTGCTAAATGGAGACATCTCCGTCAAGGATTCTTCGAAACGTCCCAAACGTCTGAACCAGCGTGGTCTGAACCAGGATCACCTAAAAGAAGGAAATGCGATACTGAAGACATTGCGGACAAATCGGGTCTTGTGAAACAGGTTTCTACCAACAATCCGGAAGAAGATCATCGCACTATTGACGAAAGTTCATCCTCGAGTGACGATGATGGGATTCCTCATTACCAACCAAATTCGACTGAAGGAAAGAAAGTCTTTTACGAACGTTTCAATCCGGAAGTCCCGACTTGAGAGGTCGCGATCGCTCAAGTCCCAATATGAAGGACAGTCAGGTCGGTTATATTTTGGTTATCATTCGGTCATTTGGTTTCTTTCAGTGAATCGGTGGGACAGCAGTGATGGAGAAAGTCCTTTTTTTGAAGAGTTACAACGTAAACTCGCGCCTTGCTCCAGAAAACGGACCCGAGACGACAAAAAGTACGACAGGGGAAAAGTTAAAAAGGTCAAAGATAAAGCGAAAAAAACACAAACGATTCAGCTTTAGAAATATCGGGGATCGACTGACAGCATCGATGAAAAAGTGACCGCCATCATCTAACTTCCTCTTCCTGTCCGTTCGTCGAGCTCTTTTCTCTTTTAGCATTTTCCCCTATTTTGTTGATAATTCATTTTCTTCAATTATCTCCTTTTTTAATGCGTCTACAGAATCTCTTGATTCTTTTTTATCTTCAATCTTCTCGTTCGTTAGACGAACTTCAGTCACCTGAACAGAAAATCCTAAATTCAAAATAAGACCAGCGAGTTGCACCTCTTCGAAGAAATACTTCAATAAAGTCTCAATGTGACCTTTAACGGTTAAGGAAGAGCTCGGACACCTGAAACGCAACACAAACTCCAACTCTTCAATACAACGGAATGGTAACGCACCCATCGCATGCGCCAGATAATTCCAACCAGACAATCTATAGAAGAACATATCGCGTGTATACGAAAAAGACTAGAAGGCAAGAAATGGGAAGCTCGACCACCTCACTCCGTTCTTCTCGTCAAATTCTTTCAGTTCAACGTGACCGCCTGAACAATAACCGATCAAAAGGGATCAATTCTGGATCATACCGTCTTCCTCGACCATGGGGGCAACACGCTTGCGAAGCACTTCCTGAGGCAACAAGGAGCCAATAAGGTCCCTCACTAGAAGCATCAACTGACTCTAATACAGGACACAATGTCATCCGAAGTTTCTTCCGCGTCCTCGTCCAAATCAGCGGGATTGGGTTTTTGATCTCCTTCGACAAAATCATATTCGTTTTGCTCTTCAACAATTTGAAAACGCACCCCATTTGAAAGAGCTCTGGATATTGAAATTTATCCAGAAGGGTTAAGATTGAACTCACTTGTTCAATGTGAGAATAATTGCTGGTTGGACTTGCTGCCATCTGATCTCAGGGTTTTTCGTTATTGTTAATTTCATCTCATTAATCATAATTTTGTTGACACCATTAATCTATAAAAAACCAACATAAAGACATTCCCGATAATTGTGACGCACCTGGAACAAATTTTCAGCTAGAGGACTCGTGCCTCTGCCTGAAGAAGAACGTTGATGTTGAAATGAGGAGATCTTGGCAGAACGACTCTTCGCTTGTACTGGATGACCTACACGACTCTGCTGTTGGAAACCATAAGGGCCGTGAAGGAGTTGAAATTGGATTGCTTGGGAGTCCTTCAGGAATAAAGATCCGGGACTGAAGAAGAAACCAGGAATGAAAAGAGTGGGGAGGTAGGGAGAAGCGAACCTCTTCATTAGGTGTCTGGCGCACTGAAATGTGTAATAAGCGATTTTGAGATACTTGATAGAGATGGTTCTTGAACAAATTATTGGAAACGAATGACCGAGACAATTTGATTACTGCCTCCATGGACAGGAACAGACCCCACAGAAAAATAAGGATCCGTAGCTCTGAACATTCTGGCACAAGAAGGATGTGGTTTAGCCGTATGGAATAGACCTGAAGGTTAAAATAGACGTTGAAGAAGATGCTACTGATATCCCGAACGAATTTAAGCAGCACAGGATAAGAAAGTTTTTTTTCATGTCTGTTTGAGGGCAACAGCCTACATGAATGTTGACCTTGTATGTCCCATTTGTCTTCTGACGAGTCTGTCTTGTTGGATAAATCCACAGTTCGTTGGATGCAAGCGTGAGGTACCCTTGGCTCCCCAGTTCTCAGAATTGACAGTAGGTTGTGTCAAGGCTGAAAGTACAAGCTCTAGGTTTGCGAGTTTTTCTGTCGTGTTCTTTATGGAAGTGCGACACAACCATTTTGTACCGCAAGGACAGCAGAATCTAACTTGAGAATTCATTGCAACTCTTCCCCGCCGATTGCGTTTCATGCATGAATCAGGCATTCTAAGTTATTTCCAATCCCTGATTAATATCGGAAGAGAAAGTACGCACTTTTATTCTTCCTGAAGAACAATAAATGAGGGCAATCTCATCCTGCTGTGAATTCTATCTCGTCGTTTTGTGCTTTTCTCTTCAACATGAAGGACTTCCTCCCGACTCTTCACAGCGAACGGCAATGCGAGAGATTTGAGCTTTGAAACCGGAGCAGGTCATATTAATTGCTACCATATGCTACTTCTATAAGCAATTCGTCGCAAAACTCAAAAGGCCAACCTTTGACTTCAGAAGCCATCTGGCCTCGTTAGTCATCTTTCTGTTCGTGATGGAGCAAGCATGTATGATGCTGAATGCATTATTGAAAACAAAAGCAAAAGAACAAAGGACCCCATTTCACCCTCTTGTTGTCAGAATATGTGATGTACTTCAACAGGAAGGCCTTGTGAGAGGTTTTCGGGTGGAAGATGGAAAGGTTCGTATTCTCTTAAAGTACTACCAAGGTATGGCAAAAATCAAGCAAACGTTTTGAAATCTTGTCGTTATAGGAGCTCCTGTTATCCGTAATGTTCGCGTTGTCTCCAAACCAATGAGAGATATCTGGGTCACTCCTCATGAATTGAAGTTCAGAACTCAATACAACACCGGTACGTGAAATGAATGATGGCAGAGTATCACCGTTGATTCAGGCTTGTGGATTATGAACTCTCAGTTTGGAGTTGTTGGCCACAGACGTTGTATCGAGATGGGACTCGGGGGACAAGTGATCTTCGCGGTCAACAATGGATACCAGCATTGGTGTTAAATTTTCTAGAAAGATAAATAGATTTCAAACAGATCGCATACGCTCGAAATAGAAGTTGCAGAATTGGGACACACAGTGGCCGATGGTCAAATTGACAATGAGGACTATGAAGCCAATAGTTCCATAATTTCTTGATCACTTTGTGTTCTTCTTTCGTTAACGAAGAGAATTGTTCGAACCTGAAGCGCCAAAATTGAAAAACAACATCAATTATAGCGCACCTGCTGTACTGTGAGGCATTCGCTTATTTCATGTTTCTTTGACGAAAATTCTAAAACGTCTGAAGATAAAAATTAGAAGGGATTTTGTTTGTATCTTAACTCACCAGCTTCCAGCAGTTCTCTGAATAAGCAAAATGGCTTCCATAATGTACTGTGGGAGGAGACTGTTTCATTGTCTTGGAAGACATTATCCGAAGATACAGAAGAAGAAGGAATTTCAATAACAGGGCGAAGCTGATCACGCGTCGAGGAAAGCAAGTGGGCCAACGCTCGCTTGTCCTCAGAAGTGGCTGAACTACCAGGGACTTGAATACAAATCTGAAGTCGAAAGAGTTTCGTAGAGAGAGCAAAAAAATGTCAGAATGGTGAACGCCGACAGTGAATACAGTGTGAGAGTCTAATAACTCACTTCATTCAACAAAGCATCGAGAAAAGCATCCAAGAGCCGCCCAAGACACTTTAATGCTGTTGGAGAAGGCATAACATCCATCCAATAGACTGACAAGCTCTTGATCACTTGAACCACCTCTGAGGTATAGAAATCAAGAATCATGAACCATTGAGAGGGAACCACACGCACCTCCAATTTGACCCTCAACATCTGCATAAAAACGATCAGATGATACATTTGATAAATTCCCAAAATTCCGGCAGAGTGACAAAATCTCTTGCCGCTGGTACGCCTGCATGTGTGAACGGCACATCAGCGGGAATAAGAGAAGAGACTCACAAGCATGTTCCCGAAAACCTGCTCCTCTACTGAACGAAGTCTGGCCACCAGATGGATCAGAGTTAAAATTGCTTGTTTCGGCTGGACGGTTTGCGGGATTTGCTTATGGACAGTTGCCAATAGGAGAAGCATCCTGCGGGATACGTAAAGACAGTCAGAACAGAAAACAGCCCCGAACATCGGATCCTTCTGCAGTCGGCTCTGAAGAATGTCTATGAGGTAAGGAACCAAATCTAGCGACATACACGATGGATAGATGGTCTCAAGAGAGCGAACAACTGAACCGATTTCTGAATCGACTCAACCGCAGAATCAAACAGTCTGCGATAAAGACAAAAGTCTTTTACGATGCATGGTGCACTTTACCCCATGTCGTTGTTCTGCGCGTTGATTTTTTGGAAAACGTCCTCAAGCAGGACGTCAACCATGCGAACCAGTTCATACGCCGCGCGCGACACCTGACGGAACCAAACGAGAATATGTACGCAGTTCACGGACAACTCATCGGCAGCAATTTGGTGTGCATCGAAGAAAACGTACTTTGCATCTGGGAAGGATTAAGGGACTGCTGCGATACATCGAGTAGACTCGGCTTTCTAAATCGCCGGTAGAATCAGATGATTGGAGACTTTTCATTTCTTGGAAGCATTTGAGCAAAGTATCTGATATGAGAAGAAATTGAACAAGAGAGAGGCTCCATTCCCTGATTACCATCACTTGTCTTCTCCCCGACAACAACAACGGCAGGATCCATGGACAAGCTCAATCGTCTGACTTCAGACAACATCTACGGAAAAAAATTGCGTGACTGTTTGGATCACTTCATACTTTGGTTTGCTTTGACTCGAATAAAAGTTGTTCATGACGATTCGCAAAAGACGCGAGAATGTTTGTGTCGAATGGAATGACGTCTGACCCGAAAACGTTGAAATGTCAATGATGTTGGAATTCTTACGCAATCCTCTTAATCTTGTTTCGAAGTCTTTCAGCTTTGTCAAGACGATCGGTTCCACTCCAGCTGCTCCTAAATCTCTCGTCAACGTTTGCGTCAGATCCGCATAAAGCAGTGAACCAAGTATTTCAACAGCTTCGGGATGCTACAAAATTCAAACATTATTCTTGATACTTTGATTG